TTGATACAATGCGTACCTCTGGAACTCATTTTTTTTTTTTTTTTTTGCTACGTAAAAAACAGTATGTAGCAATAGTAAGTATATAAAAGCTTCGAGCACGAGACAAAATTCGGAATCCCGGGTTATTTTCGTGCAACGATAAATTCTACGGAATACGGTGGTATCGCAGCCAAGGCTTAGATTTTTATGGGGCTATTATGCGGTAGACGGACGCTTAGTGGGGCCTTTACTAGATGGGTGTCGTGCGATACAATTGTAGAAAGGTATTATCAAAGGGTCGAGGTTGACCATTACGTTTTTTTGTCTTATTGGCCACAGACAGAAATTTTAGAAGGCACATTAGGAATAACAAATCGGTAAAACAAAGTTATTTCTTAATCACTGATTTCTTTTTTCGGTAATAAAAATGAAAAATACAAGTACCGATTTTAGGACCGACAATTTTTTGTAACTTTTGTAATAAATTTATCATACTTTAAAATGTGTATTTACTTTATTTGTACTTAATTTTTTTTTTTTTTATTTACCTCGTGTGTTATTATGACTTTTAGTTCTGTAGACAGATGTGCTTAAAAAAAAGAGCTGGATCACTTAAAATAATTCTGATGTTCAAACCACTGCAAATTATCAGGTACAAAACTTCTTGTTATTTTTCTCGGTTGACATGGAGCAATTGTGTATTAAATAAATTAAAGAAAATAAAACAGCTCTAGCTTAAAAGCTTTTATCGATTTATCTCATTATTGAACATAATAGATGGTGTTGGTTTTTATTTTTACGCCTGATCAAAAAAACTGACCTGCACTTAAGTTACATTATTTTTAGACTTGTTTACTTTTTCTCTTGACATATTTACCATATTAAAAACAAGTGAAGTACTTTGGCGGGGTGATTAATTCTTATTATTCTTTAAAAAAATTAGATGACGAATTGTGTTATAGTTCTACGCGAAAACGTGTATTATAATTACCTATAAATCCTTTTTTAATTGTACATTGTAGTTAATTAAAATGTTAACTAAAACATATATTACACAAAAAAAAATACAACTTTTTGATGGTCTCCCGTTTTTCAAACAATATAACATTATTTACGGAATAGTTTAAGTGCATTCGTACTAATAGACAGAATATCACTTAGTGGTCTAAATCAACAACTTTGAATTTCTTAGTTCAATATCACTTTGTGGCCTAAATCAACAACTTTGAATTTCTTAGTTCAATTTCCGATTTTTTAGATGTGATTGGATGGATATCTTTCGTTAGCAAAGTTTAACTTCTGATTTGAAAATATGAAATTAAATAATTAAGAAATCCTCAGTTATCAAAAATGATGAAATCGAAATCATTGTCACCTATCATTGCTATACATCGTATAGGAAATTTTACTAACCGAAAATTAGTCATTGATGACCCCTCATACCCCGAAACAAAATAATTGTTCAAGTCCTTGATTACCAAGTTCTTATTTGTTTTCCACTCATAATTCCATGAATTGTTCAAAGTAAACATCAATTAATTTTGTAAGGGTTGCAAAGCTTTCTTCCCATTTATAGATTTTATCGAGCACCCAAGAAATATACGCAGCATTTTTTCCATTCCTTTTTACTACATCATCATTTTTCCCACACCGTGGATCAATATTATCCGCACTAGGTCGGTTTTCATATATTCAACAAATATCGAAGAAAATAATGCATGGAAAAAGGTATTTCCATATACGGAGGGGAAAAAAATAGAGGTTGGTAGTATAGGTGAGATGCAGGGCGCAGAAGCTCTGTCTAGTATATTTGCTTGCAAGTTTGCAGCAATAGTGGTGTGTACAGCTTTTCTGCTCGTGCGGTAAAGCGTGATGATTGAACTCTATTTGAAAATAAACTCTATAGTGAGGGGTAGCTGTTGTCATATCACGTTCCGCTCTATTTTTTACTTAATGCTACGGAGTATTCTTTTGTCACTCTTTGCAGCAATTGTCAAAGCTGAAAAGCGTGTGAAAAATAATGATACTCTTAAAATTGAGACGTAGAACCGAAGAATTTTCAAAGTTTAGCCTCCTTTGGTTTAAGACGATTTTTTCCGATGTAGATGAGTTCGACAGTGTTCGGCATAACAAAACTAAAAATAAGAAAGCAATTGTGAAGAGCTACTGTTTCAAACGTGGAAGAGGATGATTTTGTCAAAATATTTTGTTAGTTTCAGGATGAAAGTTGGAGAAGTAAGGATTTACTTTTTTTTTTTTATTTATTGCTTGGACATACTTTGCAGAGGAGAATGCATGGGGTATCAAATATTTATCAATATTACAAAAATTTCTCTTTTCGATGAGACAACGATAGACCATTAGACCCGAGTGCCGTTACCAGCCAGTGACCGATTTCTTTATGAAAAATTTATCATGTACACGTTATCAATTCTAGTAATAACAATAGTATCAGTATTACAATAACATTAGTAATAATAATAATAATAATAATAATAATATAAACATACATATGATATGCATTTGTATAAAAAATTGAAAGTATGCACATAAGATGCGACGTCTAGGATGAATACTTGCCCTTATTTATCCGCGTCGCCATACATCTACAACGAAACTCGCATAGTCTGCTTGACTCGCCCAACTTTGCATGACATTCTTCCTCGGCGATTCTCAATAAGCGCATTGCCAAATCCCAGCTTGTAATCGTAGAAATGGACGTCATATTTCAGGACGGCGTGTAATGCTCCTTTGGCTCGTTCTAGCGAAGCCGTTGTGCTTGGAAAACATTATTTATCGCGATGGCTAAGCTCTCGGCGCTTATTTCATTTTTTACAACACAGCATATTTACATTCGTATAGGCTGACTGCTTTTGATCGAGGATTACGAATGTTTTTAATATTTATCGAACGAGAGAGAATTACAAAAAAAATAATGGCAACTTTTTCACGCATACTTTTAATACTTGATAATTAGTGCAAAAGGCAAAAGGATGCGAATGAATTAACTGATGTGTAGGTATACAACGAGTCATTGCGAATCGATTATGTTCGTCTGAAGGTATGCCCAGTATTAACAGCACAGTCAATGATTTTCCAAAGTATAACTGAACTTTGTAGAGTAGGCAAATTTGTAGCAAAGAGATTAAAGTACAGAGGGAGTATATTGTAAACTTGATTTTCATGGTGATCAACAATATTATGTTCCATGAGTTGAAAAAAGAGTCTGTCAAACAAAATCGAGAATCGCCAAATCTTGGAAAACCCATGCTGAAAAATAAAAAAAATCATTCATTTTCACGAGGCTACCTTCTTCAAAAAGGCAACAAGATTAGCTGCATGAGCTTACAAATAGTATAAGGTCGACGATCGCTCCTGTAGAAATCTCGAGAGCAAAAACAAGGGCCAACGCTTCTAAATCTTTCAAGAGGCTTTTTCACCGAGCCTGGCCAATACAGCCACCGATACAAGACAACAACAGCTCTTGTCTCATATTCAGCTGACATGGCGATATTGTCGGCCAGCGTGACTTCAATAGCCACTCCGGAGACATCCCGAGTCCGGTCACGAGCTTCGAGAGGCCAAAGCGTCGCTCCGGCGGCCCTGAACCCCCCCACGACGAATAATTTACGCGGACCCGCCACCCACCGTCTGCACGTGTGCACACATACACAGACCCGCCGAAGCTAAGCCGCCGCGCCTTTTAACTTTTCCATTTTCCATGTCTCGACTCTTCCCCGTCCGCCCGACCGACGTCGTCCACTTTTCCACGCTTCCTCTCTCCCTCTCTTTTTTTTTTCAACTCATCCGTTCTCCATCAGAGCCGAGGCACTTCACGCGAGCCATCCACCCGCCCGGCGGGATATTGGAAATTGCATTTTCCTGTCATCGGATTTTCCCCCCCAGCACGCGGGAGTGTGTATTTTTGGACGGCCGGGCGCGATGTATGCCCCTAAAAAAGGCCGGGGAGTAGAAAGGGGTGTAATCGCCACGTTGTCGCTGGCAATTTTTCATCAGCTCGAAAGTTTTGGGCCAACTCTTGCAATTGAGGCTGGGTGTACTATCGGCTGAAGTGTACACTTTTTCAAGCACCTACAGTGATTTCTAATTATTTTTCGCCGCCTTCGTGCATACACTTTTGCTGGTGGCTCTCCTTTTTCTTTCAAACTTTTTGGATTTTTTCGGTGTATAAACATCCGTTGACGAGAATGCCCAACAATGCCGCACTCGTTTATTATCGTCGAGTTACCTGATCGAATTCCTTTAAGGGTAGATATTATGGATATTAAAAGCCCCGACTGATCTCTACAACGTGGCAAGAATAATACAGCGCGAAAAGGTGATGCGCAACGGTGTATCGATTTAACGCTGCTGTGCACACCTATTATGCTACACAGTACTTGGATGGTTTGCACTGCATTAATGTAGTAGAGCGGTGAACTTTTAGCGCTCGGCGACGCGTTAGGTGTTGGAAAAAAAAAAAAAAAAAAAAAAAATCAATAGCCAAGAGAAAAAGCCGGGGGAGCTGAAGGGGAATGAATTTGCGGCGAGTCATCGTAAAGTGCATCGAAAAATTGCTCGACCGGAGATGAATCTTGTATCGAGGGTCTGGAGTATGGCACCTAAATATCGCGTGAGAGAAAATATTTATCGGGTCGAGTTTTTTTTTTTTTTGTTTTTTTTGTTTTCAAGAGCCATCCATCGTCTTAGTCGGTCAACATAAAAACCGTTATACGTGTAAGTGTACATGGCAAGTACTGCAACGTCATATAAGGGAGCTATACCTTTTTTGCAAAGAAATCACGTAAGTATTGATTTTTGTGATGTAGTGTATTGGTTCTTCCTTCCTCTCTACATCTCTTTCTTTCGCTCGTATTCTTATTCGTTTATGTATGTATTTTCAATTCGTGATGAAAAACTGAATATCATTTCCAACATTTGTATGCAGTTTGAAAGATTTAGGGTATACGTATACAATAAATACTTCATTTATATTTAGTGGAATTAATGAACGTGTACTATCATGAATCGTAAGTTAGAGACTCGAAGAATTTATTAGCATCTCGAACAGGTGTAAGATCTGTAACTGTAAATTTTGAAGATCAAGAGGAACAAAAAGAAATATCCCTGATTGTTTTTACATCAATATTAACAATGTAAAAACAGTTGATTAAAATTATAATTATATTTATATTATGTAAATACAACCAAAAAATGGGAAAAACGATCCCAACTTTTGAGTTTTGCGTATAGTGTATCATTGATAATGCTCCATATGTGTTGGTCTACGTTTAATAAATACGAAATATTAATTATTACATTCAATAGAAACGAAGGAATTCTTATGAAAAATATCCTTTATTGTCAATAAAGTACATGGTTCAAAACTTAACATCAACAGCTATGCGATCCCTAATCTATTCGTACAGAGAATTCGTAACACATTATATTTAGCTCACGAGACTGTAATAACTTTTCAACCTTATTCGACACAATGAAAGATGCGATAAAAAAAAATATTGCCAACCAATAAAAATTCATAGGCATATATACATTTACAAATTTACATGATGGATTGCACGATTATACATATACAGGCGTGCACAAAAGCGTCGTTCCGCAACGTTCAATTATATCTGGAGTTGTATAGAAGCAAGGAAGCAGACATTGTTGCGCACATATAAATATGTTATACTGGCTACAGAAGCCGAAGACTGTACACAGTAATATTGAGATACACAATCGATTTATCTTTGGTAGCAGACAAGGTAAGTATATATACATACATGCTATGAAAAGAGGAGGGGGCAAAGGAGATGATGCTTCAACGCTCACCGTCCTCGTCGTCGGCGTCGTCGTCGTTATAAGCGTTGGCGGGAGCAACCGGATGATCGTTGGGGCGACGACTGTTGTGCACCGTCGCGTGAAAGCCGTCCTCATTGGCGTGATATTTGACAGTTCTGACGTTGCCGTCGGGCTCCTTAACCGTGTACTCGCCCACCACAGCTTTGCCTGAAACGTGTATAATTGTGTCAATGTAACCGCGTTACTTCATTGTGGTACACACACCCACCCACAGCCAAGCCCAGATCGATGATACACTAATCGTGCCTTATATGATGCCACACACGTGAAATTCTGTGCTTGAGTCTTGGGAAAGTGATCTAACAGGTCATGTAAGCATAAAGTTCAAATTCTACACTGTTTCAGCGGAAGCTCGGTAATCATGTTAAGTACTTGGACACTTTTGATGGTGTTAAATATGTTTTCAGTGACAATTAAATTCCAAGAATTTCTAGTTTACGGAGAATCAATGGAGAAGTTACAATGTTAGTGCTACTGCTCGGTGGCATCTTACAATTATAATTTGCAATTTTCAGGTAATTCTGTTGTAAGAACTTTCTGTTTGGCTGGAAAAATCGAGAGAGAAATGAAGAAAAGTAACTTGACAATTTTTTCGCATAATCATATGGAATTCCGTTTGAACCAATCATGAAAAGTGAGAGAAAAAAAACTCAAAAAGTCTCCGACCCAAGAACGAAAAGAAAACTACCCTTACCGTCCATATGCTCCTTCTGCCCATGGTAGTCCCCAGTACTGTGATCCTCGACGCCATAAGCAAACTCGTAGTGGGCCGGAGCCGCGTAGTCGTGGTGCTTTTTGCCATGCTGGTCTACCCACGTGACGTGGTGGTCGTCGCCCTGAACTGGTCCGTGGAAGTGCTGAAACGAGTGCGCGTGGGCTGCTTCTACTCTACAACCCGAAACGACCAGCGCTACGAGCCCCAGACAAAACAGCTGTGACCACTGCAAGACAATCGTACAACATATAGGTTTTTCTTGATATTCCTATTATTTTGGTGTTGTTACATTCGTTATATTATTGGACGAGGTACTTTATGTGATTGTCCTACGGGATGGACTTACCATCTAGTACAAGACATGACTTCTCGGGTTATTTATCGTAAGTTTTCACAAGCGTTGAAATTGATGAAAGCGTTGTCATATATTCAAATCAACGCAAACGATTAAACTAGTTTCCGCAAGTTTTAAGTTATGGGAACATTTAGCAAAACGTAAACTTCAAATTAAATTTTACTAAGGAATTCTAAATTTTCGTGTCAAAGAACATTCGAGCTTGTTTTACATAATTTAAGTAATAATGTTGCACTTTCTTGAGTTAAAATTTTCAAAGTTTATTTGAAATTCGTGACCTAATGAAACTTATAACATTTATTAAACTTCGTTTTATAACTGATAAAATTTCGTTTTACCTTTGACAACTTGGCGGCAACTTCTAGGTCAAACTAATGCCAGAATGTAAGTACTTTAATTAGAAATGTTACTTCGCAAAAAAACACCCAGTGATTAAAAACCAAACAAAAAGAGAAAGACCCCGGAACACACGTGATCTAATTAATTCCAATCTAATTAGTACGTAGCTGGTGTACGACCTCTTTTTTTCGTAGATAAACCGCAGAACGAGTATAACCGGGGAAGAGCACGAATATTACGGCAAAAAGCATTGTACACCGCAAAAGGAAGGAAGAAGAAAAGAAAAAGCATCATTGAGAATCGATTTAGTACGTGGGTGGAGAAATTAAAAGGCCACAATTACCACCCACGCGATCCCCGCGTATTCGCGTTTATCTATTATCCACATCGTTCACAAGTGAAAAAAAAAAACAAAAAAAACAAAAAAAAACTTTTTGTTTTGCTCCCTCGTCCTTTCCACTGCAAGAAGCCCACTCACTTTAACGATCATTTCGTTCGATTGCTTCCCGAACTATTTTTTCTCTTTGCTCCCTCTGTTCTTCTTCTCTCGTCTGTATCCTCGAAGATCCTTGCACCCGAGAGCACCTTGAAACTGAACAATTCGTCGAGCTCGGGTGTCTCTTTTATATACGAGACACCGCGAGACAGGAGGTGAGGAGGGAAAAAATGGTAAAAAAAAGGCACACCACTGCCACCCGAAAGCGAGCTTGGCTTCACTTTCTTTGGCCTTCTCCTGAAATGCCTCGTATCTCTCCGGTGGCACGCGACAGATGTATCGATAGAGCCGTGTCTGGGCGAGCTGGCTTGCAAAACACAATTACCCAACCGATCGGGCAGGGCTCCCGGCGGACGAGATAGCAGAGGCAAAAAGTCAGCGACGCGGGCGCTCAAGCGCGAGGCCGTTGGTCAATCACTGCTCCTTCGCCTGGACTCGGATGAGCTCCGTCTGGGGGATCAAAGGATCCTTTACTTTTTATCTTCCATCTACCGATTGTACTTTACGCATGCGTGAGCTCGATAAACGATTAAAATTCCTCGTTGGGAAACTTTTTTCGTTCTACATGTTTTCACTGATGCTGGGCTTTGTATTTTGGTAATACGTAAATATTTTTCGCATAAGGTATATTTATTTGCGATGGATATTCGATACAATGTTGGTTCATTTGCAGGAGTTTTGGATAGTTTTCATGTCGCTGCTTACAAATCGACTATTTTATTTTTTTTTTTTTTTCAAAAAGAAGCGTAAAAACAAGTAAAAGGTTTCCAGAAAATTTATCTCTGTGCTCGGAGTAATCTTCCGATAATCGCTAAGAAATAATCCTTGCCCTAACGAGAATCGAATCCTTGGGCTCTAAAGTCTTATTACAAGATTAGCATCTAATGACAATTACTTAGTGTTTCCCTACTTTTCTCTTCTTTGTTATAAATATCTAAAGAATTTCCTTAGAATAGTCAGAATATCGTTATTTCTTATTTATTTATTCAAAATTCGCCGTTGTAACAAAATACTTTTACAAGAATTTCTATTCAATGGTTGATATTAAAATTCAGTTATTTTTCTCACAAATTTATTTAAAAAAGTATTAGTTTATCTCAACCTTATAAACAAATAATTCACCTTCTTTTTCTTGAACTATTTTTGACTTATGGACATGTTTCAACTTAAACATATTTAAAAGTGCTTCTATAAGATCTTGGAAATCATAAAAGCGTATTAATGAAATATAATCTAAATTGAGGATGACATTGATATAAAAGATATAAACGTGATGAGAAAATTTTTTTACAGAGTTTTTTATTGTTCTGAAAAAATTTTTAACTATTTTAACTGATACCTGAAAAGTTCTTAAATCGTTCCATATGTACTACCTAATCATTTCGTATAAACCAGATATCACTGTGAACGCTCTTATGTAATCTTCCAGAGACTAGCCATGAAATCGTTTGTTTCCCTAAAAACGTCACTGTAAACATTAAAATTATACGTGATAATCTTCGACGTAAGTGTGTCTTTGCACATAAAACCCTCGACTACTTTGTAGACACACAAAATTAAGTAAAGAAAAAAAAAACAATAAACTCTTCTCGCGTCTTTCATCATCTCCTTCGCGTGCCAGCTCGCACAAAACGCGTTTGAGTGTCCACACAACGCCTCCATAACGCTTACGTCATGCTGACTTTCTTTTCCCAACAGTAAATAAGGACCCAGATATTTTCCGACTTTACCGCAAAGGAACGACATCGATTTTTTCCTCGTAGTAGCGCTATACGCTTTTTCACTCGGATACTACGCGTATTACGCTAAAAATACGAGCGCCGGACCAAGCAAATTATACAACGGCGTGGCGTTTCATGCAACGTCATCGGTTCAACTGAATCTATTTTAGTACGTAATATTGGAAAGTAATCTTTACTTTGTTGACACGGAATTTCTTCAGCAAACAGCGAACTCGTGCGCACAAACTCATCGGCACAATTAACCTGCGTCCATTTGTTCATGTCGTTGTTGAATAGCGTAACCCTCCGTAAGAGGCCCAGGTAAGTATCGATCGAAAATCGTTCGAAAATCCTCTTTCCTCGGAAGTCACGAATAGGCTAAGCCATCCTCATAGGCTCTCGACTCCCGTCTCGCTTTCGTAATCCACGAGCAAGCATCAATCTATATACCCACAACAGAGCCGATGGCTATGAGCAGTGCCGGGAGCGGAAACTCGTTCGGGTAACAAGCACGTGTGCTTTTACATGCTTACCAATGCATGTGTAGGCAGTGACTTTGCGAGAGAGCAGTATAATATACCTGCGAGAGACACGAGCCGATGCTAATCTCCCGGGATCTTTCTTTTATCCTGCGATATTACAGCGGGATTTACCAGGTTGGAGGGGAATGACCTGCCCGTAACGATTGACAGCTGTCGAAGTGAAGCTCCTATACATGTTTCTTTTTTCAGTGCACTGCACAAGGTGTATTATGCAGTGCCATCCAGCTTTATCGCGTGTAATTTTTTCTTTTTTTTTTGTTACTTTTGCTTCGTCTTCTATGTTTACATGAAACGCTGGAGCCGTGCACACGTTTTTTTGCAATCCTTTCAAGTTCTTTTAAGCTCTTGGTGGTATGCCTGATTTGCATTTGTCAAGACGCGAGAGTATACCAGTGCCTATATTTCATAGTGGTGTACTTTTTCCTTACTTTTTTAGATGTTTTGGTAGGACGATTGTAATGGAGTTCGCAAGAGCCTGTAACTATTTTAAAAAAGTTTATTTTCGCGCAATGGCAATGTGATTCAGTAGTTTTCGACTAATCTGTTTTGTAGTATCAAATTTTATGATGATATAGAGCTATATCTGCCGAATAAAAGTATCAAAGTTCCCTCATGGCTGAGCTGTTGCTAATAAAAAAAATTTACTGATTCATCGGTTCTATACATAAACATATAGTTCGACATTTGACAAATCGTCAATTTTAAGATTATGTTCCCAAAATGATTTATCAAAATATGGAACTCACATAGTGTTTGTGCAAAAATGTTATCGTTGCTCGCATAGACTACTTACTATTATTATAACGTATTTTTCCATTACCGAGAAATTTTCAACGTATAATGCTAAAGTTATATTTACAAGCTCCGACAGCACAATTACTAGTCAATGTGAGAAAATTTGCTACTCGCTGAATTCAAACTGGTCGTTGTACTCGTAGTAAAATAATATATTTTTCTCAAATGTTTTTCTCCCTCAAAGTAGTAAAACAATTTAATGTCAGTTGAAAAATAAAAAAAAACGACCAGTAAAACTTTATACGGGACTTTTATTCCTTCTGGAATTCCGTGATCAGATGAAAATAAATTTCTACGTCTATACTCTTTGTTAAAAAGTTTTGGATCCTCATGGAAAAGTCTCGAATGGAGTAGTTATCTTCAAGACTTACAATTATCAGGAAAAATAGAAACGGTGGCTTTTAAAGTTTGTAGACTTTTGAACGCGCTCCACTTATCAAAATTGAAAATTCATATAGTTTGGTTCCCAAGTTTGATACGATTTGTAAGAAAATATACGAAAACGCACGTAAGCTGTGGACTACACTCTATCCTTGCCTAGTTACACATAATTTACTTCACGATTCCCACTATTACGTAAACAGATGAAGGATAAACCAACTAAGCTTTTGATTATCAACCATGACATATATGATTGTCAATGTCCGTAACCCATCTCCAGGGTAAGATTTTTACACAGTTCTTTTAAGGATCTCACTTTTTTTCTTACGTAGATAAATCAATTGTTTTTCCATCGCTAAGTAATGTGAATAATTCATACAAATTTTGAATTTAATTCACAGCAGCTGGCACAGCCTAGAGGGTAAAGGCTGCCGCTTGAGTTAAAACAACAGCCAGCATTTACAGCCCGTTTTCATACTACGCTACATTTGGCTGGCCCCTCGCTCGTGAAGTATGTTATCGTGGAATGAAATAAAAAAGCGTAAAACGAAGCTAAACCTCGTATCCTTTGAAACAAACATCATCATGAGGTTGAAA